GCGATTCTCCTGCCTCAGCCTCCTGAGTAGCTGGGATTACAGGCATGCGCCACCATTTCCAGCTAATTTTTTTTTTTTTTTTTGAGACGGAGTCTTGCTCTGTTGCCCAGGCTGGATGGACTGCAGTGGTGCAATCTGGTCTCACTGCAATCTCTACCTCCTGGGTTCAAGCAATTCTCCTGCCTCAGCCTCCCGAGTAGCTGGGACTACAGGCACACGCCACCACACCTGGCTAATTCTTTTGTATTTTTTGTAGAGACGGGGCTTCCCGTTTGCCCAGGCTGGTCTCAAAATCCTGAGCTCAGGCAATCCCCCCACCTCAGCCCCACAAAGTGCTAGGATTACAGGCGTGAGCAACCATGACCGTAATTGCTCCGCAGCTGTAGTATTTTTCCAAAAAGAGCAGCATATACACCTACCGGGAAAGACTAGAGGAACTGCTTTATTTATGAAAGGCTAATGATATGAGTTCTGCTGTGGCATGAAGGATTTCAGTTAGATCAAAAGAATATCATGTCTGGGATGATTGTTTCCTCATGTCTATCTCCTCTCATCCTTTTTGGGAAAGTAGTCCAAGCTTTAGCTGGGCATCTGGCCCCCTAGTTAGAGACAGTTGAACATAGACGCTTGATGAAGTTCTGGCACTGGGGCGGGAGCAGAAGTAAAGTGGGCAACTTGGAGATGGAGTCTTTAACAAGGAAGCTGTGTTGCCTCCACCTCCTCTTTTCCCTTCATAGGCTGCGGGGCTAACTAGCTTTGGTCCTGCAAATAAGGGTATGCCCCTAGGATAAGGCAGAACGAGACAGATGCAGCTGGTCCCCACTCGTACCAGCCTGAAATGGTCAGACATCTCATGAAAGAGAAATAAACATTCTAACTTTCTAAAGCTGCTGTTGTTTAGTTCCAGTAAAAGCAGATGAATTAATAAAAGATGAAAAAGAGAACAGATTTTTTTTTTGGTTAATGTCCCTAGAAAAAAAACCAGGCTACTTGTTATTTTTAATGAGTTGCTTTAAGAAAGTAATGCCACCTAGAAGCAGAGACCAGCTATTCATATAACTCAGTGCTAGCAAATAGGTTTGAATGACAGAGATGCCCACAGTTGCCCATACCCCACAGTACCTCTTTAATAGCTGACTCACACACAGTGCCTGGACCTATCTCCGTGTTCAGGTACAGTAAGGCATACAGATAACCTGCCCGTCCATAAAGCAGCTCATCAGGAAGGTCTGATTCTTGGCAGACAACCGTTTTCTGGAGCTGTAAAAGTCTAACCAACAAGAAAAATTCATTTTTTCCCATGGGAGAAATCTAAAGTACTTCTTCCTGAAACACTTACCCTGTTATTTATTTTAAGTTTAAAACTATGATTTTAAAAAACACTTCCAAATCCAGAATACAACAAAAACATCTCCAATTCACTAGTCCCCTTTTGAATGTCAAAATTAAAAATCAAACATCTTTCTGTTATTTTTTATCTTTACATCTATTTTAAACCATAAAATTTTATTTTGAAATCCAGAAGTAAAACAAAGTGATTTAAAATTTAAATAAAAATGGTACCGTAGGCTGGGCACGGTGGCTCACGCCTATAATCCTAGCTCTTTGGGAGGCCGAGGCTGGTGGATCACCTGAGGTCAGGAGCTCAAGACCAGCCTGGCCAACATGTCTACGAAAACTAAAAAATTAGCTGGGTGTGGTGGTGCATGCCTGTAATCCCAGCTACTTAGGAGGCTGAGGCAGGAGAATTGCTTGAAGCCAGGAGGTAGAGGTTGCAGTGAACCAAGATCACATCATTGCACTCCAGCCTGGGCAACAAGAGTAAAACTCTGTCTCAAAAAAAAAAAAAAAAGGTATTGTAATGTCACCAATGCTTGGGAATTAGATTGTCATTCTGTCTTTTCCTTTCTTTTTCTTTAGAGACAGGGTATTGCTCTGTTGCCCAGGCTGGTATGCAGTGGCAGGATGATGGTTCACTGCAGCCTTGAACTTCCAAGCTCAAGCAATCCTCCTGCCTCAGCCTCCAAAGTGAATGGACCTACAAGAGCATGCCGCCATACCCAGGAGTTATTCTGTCTTTCAACAAACATTAACTGACTAGCACGTGCCAGATACTCTACCAGGCCCTAGGAATGAGCCCTCATTTCTGTTTCTTCAAGAAAGAGTGTAAACCAATGGGTGCAATAAAAGCTTACATTCCCTAATTGTTCCATCATTAGCATATCTAATTAGTTACTTAAAGGTTGACCCTAAGTTCAGTTTCGTTATTGTGGTGAATCTAAAGCATGTAAGCTGATCTTCATGCACTGAAGGGAACCCAAAGTTGCTTAGGAAAGATGGTTAAAATGACTCAAAGAAACACATTTATTCCTCCCACAACTACTGCACACACATGCTTGGATAAAAGGAATGCCTATGATCCCACCATTATGCTCAAGATTAACATTTTGGAGAGACCTGTTTACAACAATGGATGAACTAAAGAATAATTTCCTTTTTGAATATCTTTCTACAGCAAAAGCTTCCACTGGGAATTGGGAGAAAATGTTTCCAGTTCTAAAACTCACTTTGTGACGCATTCCTGGGACTCACAGTCACTTCTGAGTTTGTGATAAATCACGGCTCCAACAGCCAGGGGCCCGGCATCGCCACAGAGGAAGGTGACCCTGCGGCCATTCAGATTCCGAAGTGTTCTTTTTACATAATCCAGGGATCGGAGCAGGTAGGTCTGGTCACATGTGACCCGGTACAACTGCAGGTATAAAAGGGCTATGCCTGGAATAATTTCCCACCCCAAAAGAAAAGCATTATTATCTTTTCCTTTTATGTTCAGGGCATTATTGGTAATTACAAGAAATACCTTCTTCTACATAAATCCTATGTTTCCAAAGGGGTAACACCAAAACAATACATATCATACATTTCTTAAAAATGAATAAACAAAACAAAACCAAGACAGAGAAATCAGGGAGTAAAGAACAGAAACCAAGTTTGTACATGTTATCTTGCTACTTGTCCTGGCACAGTGATTTAACACCTCTTACAGACAAGGGAAGATCCATCACTTCCTACTCATTGTCAGTTAATTTTCATTCATTCCAAGGTTATATTCATTCTCCCTTGTACCATTGGCTAACTTGGATCTTCTTCTTTTACTTCTCATAAAACCATTTCTCCTGTGTTATCCCAAATGATCATTTTTCTGAACTTTATATCTCCTTCCTATCTTTTTTTCCTGTTTTTCCCAATTTTTCAATGTTCTTTAGTGAACAACCCGCCAATGGACCAACCAACAGGTGAGTGAACTTGCCATTTCTGGGGCAGTCACATGGTACAGAGTAAGATGACCAGTACAAAGGGCACGTGTGGTTCATCACCCACCAACCTTTCCATTCTAGATAAAGAACAGACTCAGATCTTCAAATGAATCTGAGAGTCTCCAGAGAAGGGCCTATACAGCTTCTTAATGAAGCATATTCTTATGTCTGGGTTTGAGAAGACAATATCACAGCTAAGTTAAAAAAAAAAACAGTATAAATATGTATTTACCAAAGTCTTTTATAGGAAAAAGTATTGACAGAGATGATATGCTGATGAAAAGGCCAAACTAAACATTTCTTTTATATTTAAGTTGAGGTTCTTCAATATTCTAGTCTTTGTCTAATATCCTACACTGATTTTTACTATTTTTCATTTTCCTTTTTAAATTTATCTAAATATCTAGCTGCTTCTTTCTTTGATTCTTCTATTCAGGGTATATCACTTCTCTTTCAAATTAATCCTTAACACTTTTTGAAGTCTTTCACCATTATCCATTTCTTTAAAGACGCTGAGTCAAAAAGATATGAAAGTTGCATATTTGGAAGCTCTGAAAAAATTATTCTGCATGAGTTGCTTATTATCTCCTTGAGTGATGTTTTCTATATTCGAAAAATATAAGCATACAGGAAACAGTAAAAGTTAAATACCTACAAATTTTAAACATAATAATCACTATAAAGGCTTACAAATGAGTATTCCCTGATTGGCTCAGAAATCTCTAAAAACAGGATGCTGATCTAGTAAACCTACGAACCTAAAAACCAATAGTTATATATATTTAATGCTTCAGTATTTTAAAGTAAATGATAACAGGCAAAGTAAAAATCAAAAAAGGTCATCATGCTTTGTCACTTCTTGTTGGCAGGCGTACACGTTGCACTAGGTAATAGCTGTGGTGAACAGGCCTTAGGGATGTGGTGGGAGGTTCTGGGGAGCATGCACCTGTGAGCAGGCTCAACCTTCTGGCCAGCCTGTGCCTTTGGACTGTGAACTACTCCAGTGCCTCCCATCCCCATGCCCTCAGTTGGCTAGGATGGCTAGTGGGAGCTGCAGCTGATTATCTCCCTTTCCCAATGCTGAAAGCTACAGCCAGCTGGAGCTGGGCATCTCCCTTGCTCCGGGTAGGCAGGGCTGCAATAAACCCCTTGCAGGAGAGGCTCTGGTAAAGCAGTTTTCCCTGAGGGCAGGCCTTGTCAAGAACAGAAGGCTCTGATGGAATTCAGTATGGTTCCTTCCCCCGAACCTACAAGAAGCATGGGGGTAGTCTTCTCTGACATTCACTGCAGCCTTGACCTCCTGGGCTTGAGTCATCCTCCTACCTCAGCCCCATGAGTAGTTAGGACTACAGGTGTTTACTACTGCACCCAGCTAATTTTTTTTTATTATTTTTATTTTTGTAGAGATTGGGTCTTGCTATGTTCCCCAGGCTGGTCTCAAACTCCTGGCCTCAGACCATCCTCCCACCTCTGTCTCCCCAAGTGCTGGGATTACAGGTATGAGCCACTGTGCCCAGCCTTCTTCTTAAACTGTATACACAGTTTAGGGGAGGCATGGGTCTATGTGGATTCCATGAAGACCTGGTGGAGCTCCTAGAGGTAGGCTCACAAAAGTGTGACAGCCCCCGTGACTGAGTCCCCATGGAGTTTTGTCTCTCTGGCTTGTCCACACTGAGCCCCTGCAATTCATCATTAGCGTTTCAGTCTCCTACCCTAGCACTGGTTCCCACAGTGCCTGCCGCTCCTGTTAGCTGTGCGGTCACATGCGCATACGGTGTTTCAGTCAACGACAAACTGCATACACACAGTCCCACAGAACATAATCATAATAGCATGTTTTTCTGTACCTTTTCTATGTCTAGCTGTGTTTAGATACAAAAACACCATTGTGTTACAATTGCTACAGTATTCAGTGCAGTAATGCTGTACAGCTTTGCAGCCTAGAGCAACAGGCTGTATCATAGAGCATCAGGACGTGTAGCTGGCTACACAATCTAGGTGTGTGTGAGCACCTCTATGATGTCTGCATAATGAAACTGCCCAACGATGCGTTTCTCAGAATACATCCACAACGTGAAGCGATGCACGACACTAATTCTCGGCATTCACCTGTTTCACCAGTTTTTGGTGCCGCAGTTTGCCCCTGTGACCTCACTTCTCTGACAGAGCTAAGAAGAGCTGTTACGTTTTCACTTTGTTGAGCCTCTTATTTGCTAGGATGCAACAGCAACTTTTAAACTCCTTATATGCTAGACTGGAAGACTGAAGTCTCTCTTTATCTTTGTTTCTTTTTCTTTGCTTTTTTTCCTTTTTAGTTTCATTTAGTCACTTATTTATTAAGCAAGCATTTATTAAACCCTTCCTAGACAAGGAGGACACTTTGCCCCTCTGCTTTCTGTGGGATCAGCTCTTTCTTTGGCTCCTTGCACTTTGGTCTCATTTCCGAAATAATTTTGTCTTTTCCTTAAATTAATTTTCTTCGTCTGTCAATTCTTATTTCACACACTTTTACTGTCTAGCCATCTCTTCTCTGAGTTCCTTTACCTCTGCTTTGTGAACTCATTGCTTAGCTAAGGTACAAAATGAATGTTGAAAGTACTGCCAATTTCTCCCACCTTGTAGTGACATTTTCCTGGTGCGTTTTCTCCTTCCATTGAGAAATGCTGATTTTTCTTTTTCTTCCTTATATTATGGATACAATAATTATGTTTTTTCTTAAAATTGAATTTTTCTATATGAACTATTAACAGGACAAATCCCTGGAAAGGGAAAATGATTAGGGTAGCTTTCCCAATTTTTTATCCCAACGGTGTCCTCTTGCTAAGTGATAAGTGTATCTAACACGGGGATTCTGGTGACCAGATCTCCTGGCTCTCAGACCCTTCCTTGTTTCAGGAGTGCCCATCGCTGCTGCTTCCTTTCTTTCCTACACCGTCAGCCGGGGCCAGCAAGGGTGCTGCTCCGTGTTGCAGGCTAACCCCGCCACTCTGCACGTCATGCCTGCTCTACGGCTCTTCAAGCCCATTCCCTGTGCACTTTCCACGCCTTTATTCCCAGCTTCTCCTGGCACTGCCTGCCTGCTCGGCACTCGGATATGCCCACAAAAGTTCCCACTGAGACTGATGCCCACTCTGCTCGGAATCTGATTCTGGAAGGATGGGTGTCATCGGGGAGATGTGGCCACGCCTGGATCCACGCTTCCTCGCCCACACACTGTGGCTCTCCACACTGGTTCTGAATGCTGCTGTTTTTTTACCCAACATGACTTGTGTGTTTTCTCTGTCTCAAAATTTTGTGAAAGGGATAAGTTGTGGGTGCTTCGTTTATTCTTCTCCCATTTTCTTTTCTTGAGACAGGGTCTCACTCTGTCACCCAGGCTGGAGTACAGCAGCACAGTCATGGCTCACTGCAGCCACGACCTCCTGGTCTTGAGCCATACTCCTGCCTCAGCCTCCTGAGTAGTTGGGACTACAGGTGTTTAGCAGTGCACCTAGCTAATTTTTTTTTAATTTTTATTTTTGTAGAGACGAGGTCTTGCTATGTTGCTCAGGCTGGTCTCAAACCCCTGGCCTCAAAACCATCCTCCCACCTCTGTCTCCCAAAGTGCTGGGATTACAGGTGTGAGCCACTGTGCCCAGCCTACTTCTTATATGGTACACATAGTTTAGGGGAGGTATGGGTCTAGGTAGATTGCATACATTTACCTGAACCCCTAAACCCTATTAATTTAAATTACTGAAACCAAATACTTCCATGATGATTCCCAAAGACAGCAATAGCTAGGGATTTTTTTTTTTTTTTTTAGGCCAGTCAAATTTTCAAGCAATACTGATTTCAGGAAGCCCCGTCTAGAGTTCCTAACATAACCGTTCTGGGCTGGAGGCTGAGAACTGTCATTTCTTACAAAGCTCTCGCGGTAATTCTGATCCACAGCCAGTTTGGGACCTAATAATCAGGGGTTTAGAAACCCTTTTTCAACAAGTGAAAAAGCTGTAAATAAAAGGCTTTTTAGGGGAAACCATGCAACTAATAGTGATGTTATTTTCCTTCCAAAATATCCTTATTCTTTGTATTTGACTTTAGGTTAAGCACAATTACCTATTGTATTACACTTGAAATATCTTTGGCACTATAAGTGAACTGGTTCCATGTCCTACTGTGTTTTTTGTTTTGTTTTTGTTTTTGTTTTTGAGACGGAGTTTCGCTCTTGTTACCCAGGCTGGAGTGCAATGGCGCGATCTTGGCTCACCGCAACCTCCGCCTCCTGGGTTCAGGCAATTCTCCTGCCTCAGCCTCCTGAGTAGCTGGGATTACAGGCACGCACCACCATGCCCAGCTAATTTTTTGTATTTTTAGTAGAGAC